AGTGGGGCCACTGCGATTACACTGTTACCCAGCTTAGCCAAGGACGCAGGCAGCGTGACGATGGTTCAAAGAAGTCCCACGTACATCATGTCCGTGAATAATGTAACGGGAACTTCTCTTCTCCATAAATTCATACCACGCTCATGGTCTTTCCATGTGATCAGAACTACATTTATTCTAAAAGCAGCTCTGACTTACTATCTTTGTCGAGCGTTTCCGGCCGGAGCGCGTTCTTTTCTCATGAAGAAAGTGGCGGTGCAGCTTCCTGGACATATATCAGTACACCCACATTTTGAACCTCCGTATCAACCGTGGGATCAACGGCTTTGCTTTACTCCAGATGGAGATTTCTTTGAGTGTCTACGAAATGGCACCGGCTCTATCGAGACTGGTCATATTCGGACTGTGACAAAGAATAGTGTCGTCCTGGAATCTGGCAAAGAATTGGGTGCAGATATCATCGTAACTGCTACCGGCCTTAAAGTAGGACTTGGAGGGCACATTAGGTTTACCGTGAACGGCACGCAATTCGATTTGGCGAATCGTTACGCATGGCGGTCGGCTATGTTACAAGACTTGCCAAATCTTGCATTCATGATCGGATATATCAATGCGTCTTGGTCTTTGGGTGCAGAAGCATCCGCTCAATTACTCTGCCGCATTTTGCATTATATGAAACACAATGGCTTCACTACTGTGACTCCACGAATACATCCATCAAGCCGCATGGAACCTCGACCTCTCTGGAATTTGAACTCGACTTACGCGAGACAAGGGAGGAACAGCATGCCAAAGTGCGGCAACACTGGGCCCTGGAAAAGACGAACAAACTACTGGTGGGATATATGGTGCGCCTATTATGGGAGCATTACAAGAGATCTCCAGTACTCGTAACTGTTGAGAACGTCGCAAGGAGATCTAATCAGTCTAATGAATTCTATTTTCAGCGGATCTCCGTCCCGTGTCATGTGTTATGTAGGTGTCAGGTGAGGCTTGAAATAACAGTCCAGCCTACCACAGTAACACAGATCAGGCTGTCTACCACTACTACGCAGTAATAATTCTTCAATTGTTTGCTGAGCATCTATCTTGCTAGCATCGAGTTCCACGGGTGGAGACACGTCAGAGAATCTTAAGGTCGGATTTACGCCAATTAGAGTACCAGCTCACCAAACGCTAACTATGTAGCGTTGGACACAAAAGAGGAGCATATATCCAGGCGACGCCAATCCTCTTTGGTTCTAGCTTTGGGAACGGCACCGGTGGTTTTTCTAGTGGTCATATTTCAATAGCTGGTGCCTCAGACATCAACCTCATCGGTCTCACTTGAATAAAGGGTCGTAGTACCAGTGGAACCACAGGTGCCGTTTCCTTCTTGCTTACATACATGAGCTAAAATGAATGTGCCATCTCCAGAGCAGTTGCTTCAATACTTGCCGGCATATGGTGTAATAGTGTGCACGGAGTGTGGGTACGCAATTCAACCAAATGCAATCTCTCGGCATCTGAAAGATATCCACCGGCTTTACAGATCTACTCGTCGACCATACACCAAATACGTCTCTCAATTCAAAGCAAGGAGCGCCGAAGATGTGATTAGCAGTGAAATCCTCAAATTCCCAGTTTCACTTTTGCCAGTATTTGACGGCCTCCGGTGTCAAAGTCCTGGTTGTGGGCATCTCTGTGTGTCTATCAAACGCATGCAGAACCATTGGCTCTTCGTCCATGGCAGACACGCCTGTCAAGCTACCGATTGGTGTTCGGCACCTTTACAAACCTTCTTCAGGGGCAATCTCATACATTACTTCACTGACAGTTCCGCCGACCATTCGCATCCACTCAAGCAAGTACGCCACCCTTTCCCACACAATCTTATCCCGGACGAGCCAGAAACTAACTATATTCAGCACGAGACAGCTGCCTATCCCGACGTACGCCATGAAATCACCGTCAAGGGCCAAGTCGATACTCGCGATGACTTCCTACTGCATCACTACCTGAAATCAACCTACCTAACCCTCGTCGATCGCCATGGCGCCGACGATGCCTGGCAAATTGGGTTCCCACAACTTGCACAATCTAACCCTTTCCTAATGCATGGAATTCTCGCGTGTTCTGCATTACATCTTGCTTACGAGTCTACTTCTGAAAAGCAGGCGTATCTCATCTCTGCTCGTGGCCATCAAGACATCGCAATGCGGCTCTTTCGAAAGGCTATTGAGCAAATTTCTGAAAGCAACTGCAATGCAATCTTGGCATTTTCTCATCTTCTGGTCATTTATTCTTTGGCAGAGGAGCGACCAGATGAAAGTTTACTCCTGGCAAATACATCCGAGCCACACCAAGAGTTGTTGAGCACCTGGTTGTATTTTGTGCGGAATGGGTGCCTCCTGGTGTGTGACTTTTGGGATCGAATTGAAAATGGGCCATTGGCTATGCTCGCAGCATCTTGGGAAATACCAATTATGAGTACTGGCACTAAAACGTCGGAACTATCCAGTTTTATTCGACTACTTTCTCACCTCGAGGGCGTGGAATGGTCTCAAGACGCCTGCAGTACATGTCGCACTGCAGCATTAAGCTTAGAAATGGCTTTCGGATCGGCAGACGCCTTGAACCAGGAATTCACTATATGGGATGCCGTTCGCGTCTGGCCAATGTCTGTATCAGCCGAATATATCCAGCTAATCAACCAGGAACACCCTGCAGCTTTGGTATTGCTAGCACATTATTGTCTTCTCCTAGTTCGATTAAAGTCCGTATGGTATGTTGCAGAGGCTCCTTATAGAGTCCTTGCGGCTCTCATGGCTCGACTCGATTCCAGATGGCATCCACATGTTCCAAGACTCTTAGAAAGCACACTAGGCTAAAATCCCAGCCTCCGATAATCCTCATATATACTATTCAAGTCTAGTAACCTGCTCCAATCATCATTTCTGGGGTTTCAATCTAGTTCCATAGATTCTAATACGTTGTCACTTTCGCCTCAGAGTTTCAAAATAGCCTGTAGGCCATGAATACTACGCCTCTGCAAATTACAGCAAGATGGAGCTCACATTCTCTCTCTGTTCCAACATTAGCCAATGCCCGGCTTCCACCCATCGATCAGTGTATCCCCGAGTTGTATATGATTCAGTTTGCATTCTTAATTGATCAGCTCTTGTGACGAGATCTTTCGTCCCGCCGATAGTAAGAACAGGAACCTTGAGCAGCTTATCCTGTTCAGTGAGAACAGCCTCATCGGCCGCCTGAACACCTCTCATCAGAGCCTGATAATAATTCAAAGACGCTTCAACTGCATTCTGTTGGCTATAAAGACTGAGCCACCGGTCTTTATCTTCGCTAGTGAGCCGGGACAGTAGCGCGGTTGTCGTGTTGGCAGTTAACCATGCTCGAGCAGTGCCTAAGCCAGCCAGATTCTCGGCCCAAGCAGATGCATTCGTATGAAATACAAGATGAAAGTATGACACTAGCTATGTAATTATGTCAGTATGTGAATATGTCAGTATGTGAACGCAAACCACTAAGAGTCAGGAGTCGCATGTCCTATCACTGATCAATGATGCAGCGTTATAGGAATTGAAGAAATACCAATACCCAAATTGCATATAGCCAAGTTCTTGTAACCCTAAGGCATTCAAAGCATCTATATCGAGAAATGTCTCGGGTGGACTGTACCCAACAGATAGGAATGCTAGTTTCTGGAAACGCTCTGGATGCCAGACAGCAGTATGAGAAAGAACATTGGCGCCTTAATCATGTCCTACACCTATGACAGTCTTCAGGCCCTCCTGATCCAGAATACCTGCCAAGCGCCCTTATATTTTTCAAATTGTAGGTTTCGATCCGAGTAGGCTTATCACTTTCACCATAGCCGAGACAGTCTGGTGCAATGGCCCCGAAGCCAGCAGCGGAAAGATCGGCGAATTGATGTCGCCAGTCGCCTCGAGACGATGGGTACCCATGAAGAAGTAGAAAAGTGGGTTTGGCCTCCCGTGTAGGAGCATAATCATATACGTATTGCAAGCCACCACAGGTAGTTAAGGTCTTTGTAAAACCACCGAGGACTAGAGCTGCTTTCATCACTAACGCCAATATGATCAAAGTAGTCCCGGGAAGTAGACTTTGGTAGTCATTTCAAGCTTTGAGTGATTGAGTGCTTTTCGGAATGACCTCTGAAGTAAGGGAGTTTGTTTATTGCACGCTAAATGAATGCCTGAGATATCTTATTTATGTCGTCTGCTATTTTTCAACGGTGCCGTTCTTCTAACTGATTTGGATCATTGGGTGGCTTTCTAGAACCGCACCTGCGATTCCAACCAAGCGCCGCCGGAGCTATGCCCCATTGGTCCTTTGTCACAGATCTTGGCGAGTAAATTTGGACCTGACTTCAATTTAAACCGGCAATATTTGCGACCAATTGTTAGTGGCCAGTGTTGGAGTGTTTAGTAATGATAGTTGCTTATTCTGATCTAGGTCGACCAAGCTTTGGTAGCTGTTGTCATCATGATAATCACCTAGCAAATCGATACTGGCAATGTTGGCCACCAATATCTTTTTAGAGGGATAACCTATTGCAAAGTTTAGTCCCTACAACAGTCAGCGTGTGTCCCCTTTCACCCACTAACAGCAACTAAATCTAGCCAGTGACTTTGTGACACATCGTGCAATCATAACAACACAAATGCGTAGATAACATTGCTGGACATGACATCAAAAGTCTGGCCCACGGTCATTTTATTGAAGGGAAATAATGGTCATAGTCCTATTCCCTTCGTAAGGGGCTCAAAGTCCGTGGTTTCTGATTGGTGCAGACTGTGCCTTGATTTCGAAGCTATAAAATGATTTCTAATCACTTTTTTGATTTCTAAGTCATCGCAGCCGCCATTTCTCAGTATTTTAATCGAATAGTATGCGACTTTCAGATTGACTTGATATCACAGTGAGGAGTCGCAAAAAACAACTACTAAGTTATGCCACAGTCAATCTGTAGCTTCACTATGAACCTCAAACAACAGGTAGCTATCGCCGGTGCTACAAGTGGTGTTGGTCTCGCTGTTTTGAAAGAGATCTTTGATGCTAAGCTCAGCCCTTTAATTCTCGTCCGACAAGGCAGTAACAGTGCAAGCCGTCTAAAGGCCAGGAAAGATATGAAAGTCATAGAAGTGGACTACCAAGACATCCGCGCATTGGCAAATACTTTGCGGGGAGTGGACGTCGTGATCTGTACTGTCGGGAACGCGGGCCTTGACATGCAAATTTCTCTGATTGATGCTGCTATTGCCGCAGGTGTCAAAAGATTCATCCCGAGTGAGTTTGGGGCAGACCCAGAGCATCCTATGAACAGACGACTTCCTTTCTATTTCCCCAAATTACGGATTCTGGAATATTTGAAATTACGAACAGCGGAAATTTCAAGCTTCTCATTTACGAGAATTACAACACACGCGTTCCTGGACTGGGGACTTCAAGAGAGATTCCTAGCCGACCCGTTTGCGCACAAAATCACGATATATAACGGTGGAGATACACGATTCTCTGTCACTACACTTCCCACTATTGCAAAGACCGTTATTGCGATTATTCAAAATCTTGAGGCGACTGAAAACCGCGCGATTCTGATCCACGATGCTGCTATCACTCAAAATGAACTCATCCACTTCGCCAAAATGGCAGACGGTGTTGAGTGGGACATCCAACACAAAGATACCAAGGTCTTGTTGCAAGAGAGCTTCAACGAGCTAAAGAAGCCAAGACCCAACGTCACAAAGGCTATGACTGGATTTACTTTCGTCGCTGTGTACGATGAGGAACATGATCCAGATCTTACAAGCAAGGTAGACAACAAGTTACTGGGTCTGCCAGTTATGGATGTGGAGGATGTAGCCGAGGTTATCAGAACATCAATGATCAAGCCACACTTAAGGTGACTTTTGAAGGGCGATTTAGTAATTTTATAATAAAGTAAGAGCTCAATATCCTCTCGCCTGAGCATTCCAGTAAACGAAGGACCAGTGAGGTCAGAAAGAGATACGACCTGAAAAAGCGAGTCACGCCGGGATAATTGCCTTTTGTACCTATTCTATGGCCCAAACCTTCAACGCAACAAAGCCATCAAAAATGAATAATTGACTTGATGTAATATTTCCAGCTCAACACATGCCTAATCCTCATCTTCCAATCACCGACATTGAGTTAACATTAAGCCTACTTTACGAGCTCTGAACCCAGAGCCATATTGCCTGTATGTGACCTGGTGTGATTCCAAGTTGCTGAGAGCCCCATATATATCTCCAAACATACTCTTCTGTCTCCAAGGCAGGTGCAGTTTTGACATCGTAATAGCAGCTAACATCGCCATTGCAAAGGAATGGATAGTTGAATCCATTCTGAGGATCTGTCAGTCACTAATTTGTAAATAGCGATTCTTAGTCATTATACATACAACAGTATAAAGCTCATCAGTGATGGTTGCTTCCCAGTCCTCTGAACACGAGAAGGCATGGCTTAGCCGTGCATACGCACTATCTGCATTCTCGGGAGAGCTCGAGTTAAAGAAAGTACAGTTTCCAACCGTACTAGACAAGCTGTACGGATACTGATCAGCGCGAGTGAAGACTGCACAGTCATCCAAAGTGAGTAGTCCGTATGCATTCAGACATCCGATACTGTCATCCGGAGTGGCTGTGGTCCAGTTGCTGCTGTTTAGCACGGATATTGTTCCCCTGCCTTCAAAAGTTTGAGCATGAGCAACAAGGCGTGTGCAAAAGATGCTGCCGAGTACCCCGTAAAATGAAAATCGAGTCATGGCGATGTTTATTTGAGTTTGATGACTAATGCAAGACAGAGAGGACAAGGAATTCACTAGGTAGCGTGCGACTTGAATATCACGTAGAAAAGAATGAAAACTATTGATCATCCAACCAAGAGATTGCGAGGCTTTAAACCGAGAAGTAGCACACAGGTATATAGCACTGTGCAGGGTCGCATCTAAATTGCCCGTAGAAATGCCGCCAATATAAGCTGCGGTGCAGTCTGAGACGGAACTAATCCACTCCTCACCTACCACATCGGTCAATGAAGACCAACATAACAACTATTGCAACCCTACGCGAATCCTTTCAGCTACAGCGCGGGGTGTGATCCATTATTGTGTACGTGGACTCAGGGGTAATAGCGTAGAACTTTATTTAAAAACCCCGCTAGAAATCCTTCTGAGGCATTTCAAAGCATTATATAATTTCAATAAGGATGTAAGGGGTCTCCGAGACACACTCCATTAATTGCACCCACACTCGCTCAGATTGGTAGGCGAGAGACCTCTTGTCTGTGAGGGTCCTGCGAAAGGTCGTGTACTGAAATCGCGCGCAGTATCCTTGCGAGCTTCATCTACCTTTTTTATAAGAACAAAGCTTTATTTACCATTTCAGACGATTCGTCAGTTGGGGAAGATCTTTTTCTCTTGCTAGAAAAATCGATAGTTCGGTCTCGTGATGCTGAAACATTATGAGAAAGTATGTTAAGAAAACTTGTGCAGAGCTTTCCTCTCTACCTGTTTGTTTTCCAATTGCAGTCGACGTGCTCTACTACCATCTTCGCCTAGGTTGTACGAGCGTTCTAGTCGAGAAAGGCATGCTAACTCCAGTCTCGTTAAGAAATACCAACCACCCGAACTAGATTCTATTAGACTTGTGTTATGGCAATCATTGGTACGCCTTCTCCCGTGAATAGATTCAAAACAGTCAACTCTGCCATACGAACCCCTCCAAGCCCTAGAAACTTGCCGTTGCACGCAAACCATGAAGATACCTCATGACAATGCATCATCTCCTGTCTCAAGTGATGCCAAACTTCGTACTCCACCTGATCTATATACTCTTGGAGAACATAAGAGCCCTGATCAGGAGTACTGTTACTCTCTTGTGATTCAACAAGCTTTTGCAGCCATTCATCGTTATCGACAACGCGACCAAACACGTGTCCCTGGCTCACACCGGCACGAGCATACTTGAGCACCCACTTGTCCTTGGTATCTGGGTCAGTTTTGCTATCCTCTATGACTTTAGTCCAAATTGATGATGTTGGTAAAAATGACGGTGCAAGACCTTGGCGAAGAATGTCGGATTGCTGTTGTGTGATAGTTTTACGTGCGACGAGGTCTTCAAGCTCTTCATACACAACACCAAGGATTCGTTGATCATTGACGAGAAATACGCTTCGGGGGTCGTTGACGCAATGAGGAGCAAGTCGACAGAGGGTCTCAAAGTCAATCTCTGCGTACTCCTCTTGCGTGAGCTCGAAATCCACTTGCTCTACCCGCTCAACCCCGCTACCATCTTCTGTCGCGCAGAACACTCCATACTCGTTGTCAGAACTCTCATCGGGAAGCCATTTAAGGTCCGAAGGTTTGATAAAGCGCGTCTTCTGGCCAGTTTTCTCACTGAACAAATCTGCGACCCAATGAGGATCTTTGACGGGGAACTTTTCATTTACGAAGTGAAGGGGTTTCGAGGAATCGAACTGATTAAGTAAATCGGCGATACTGCTCTTTCATGACAGTTAGCGGGAGGGGCATAGCTACATATGTCCACCGGGATTCTTACAAGGGGCATGGCTGGCTTCAATCCACCCTTTTCAATACCGAGACTCTCGAAACCTTGTGCTATGTGGGGTATTGCGATCAAAGCATTCCACGGTAGTCTGGCGTTGATCTCACACACTCTCGGATTCTCAGTAACTCGACCATTCGGGAGAGTAGTTTTCTCCATCAGATAATCCGGCCGCCAATTTCCTTTACGTTCCTTAAATGCAGGCACTACATGACTGCCAGGACCATAAACCCACTGTTGTCGGTACTTAGTGGACGTAGCTAGTTGCATACCGATGAAAGTGTCCTCACCCGGAGATATCTATCTTCATTCGCTCTTAGCGGCATTCTCGAAGGAAACCCTGCCTTCTCGTCGCTGTACCACCGCTCCACAATGTCCGTCACCGCTTTGTCTAAAGCCTGATGCAATTGCTGAATATGCTCTAGGTGTGGTCGATGAACATAAAAGTGACTGCCTGGCATTATTTTATCCATGTTATAAGATTTAAAATGATCAAGATCAGGCATGACACGGAGGACAGCTTGCCTATCTTCCTCAGCCTGTTCCGGATCCACGTCTTTCATAGGGACCGGTCGCCCAGCCCTGATACTCGCTAAAAGGGAGACGGGCTGCGATTGAAACTCTACCTTTTCCATATTGAATATTCGAGCAGATGAGGAGACGATTAACTTTGCGTGATGCAGCGTCCTTCGCTTTCAAGTTTGAAACGCCGTCGGCCTTGGATGTAGATGTTGGAGAACACACTATGACATGCGCTTCTTATTCAATCCGCATCTGCACCATAGCAAATCCTGTATCTGACGTGAGAGGCAATTGGATCGTGCACACATACCATTGTTGCCATGTCCAGGTCCTTCGATTTGAAAAGAGGCATCCGATTGGCGCTTGTAATGCAGGAATGAGCACTAACACATAGCTGCCTGACAAAGGAGCGGTACCCAGGCGTGATGCGTATTTTTCGAACTAGTTGCGGGCTGACTTGATTATCTTACGTTGATTTTCCTCTAACCCAGGTCTAGAAGGAGCAGTACTCAGAGCCGAGCCATAACCCGGACAGTTGAATGCGAGCCCGGAATTGCCAATGGGCAAACCCGACGAGTGAGCAATTGAATTACACTCTTCTTGCGTTTGGTTTTTCCTGTTTCTCAGCTGCTTCACTCCGACAGGTCGATAGACAAATGCTACGGTTTTAACGAGTATTGTAAATTGAATTATTGCCGCAGAGTTTCTGATTATCTAGCAGCAAGTGTTGTGTAAGTAATCGATGTAGCTGTTTGATCACAAAATATGATTACTCCTCCTGAAGGTTTGTCTAAAATGGTTCGTGTAAGCAAATATAAATCTATACGGGATTAATAATATTATAGAAGTGACTTTCGCAACCTCAGATTCAATGCGCGGTCTTAAATTGATCTAGGCATGTGTACTTCCATGTTTGAAGTAGTTGTTTTCTGATCAGCTTTTCAATCCATACCATCGACAATTGCATCACCTCTTTCGCGATTGCCGCCCTTCTTTTATGTTTTGTGTTAGGAGCATTTTCAACACGGCCAAACATATTGCAGCACCTACGTACATGAATCCGACGAAGAGTTGTACGCGTAGATAAGGCCGACTTACCACTGAGTGACCACGCAGCTGGATAGCGATGGCTTCAGATACAACCAGTGGCGGTGCTAAAGCTAACCAGAAGAAGCCTAAGCCGCTAGGAAGGTTGGACAATCCAACGATTTCGGCTCCCAAAGGGGCAGCTGTCGCCCATATTGTACCAGCAAATAGTCCAACAGCAATAGCAAAGAAACTGATGATCTCCATCGATTGAGCAAATATCCACACTGTGAGGCAGAGAACCCCCGCAAACAGAGTAGCAACGAACGCCACATTGACGCGGCCGAGGGAATCGCTAAGAATGCCGACTACAGGACGGCCTAAAGCTTGACCAAGATTGAGTATTGCGCTGAGGATACTTCCTTGGTGCTGAGTGAGACCTATCGCCACAGCGTAGCTTGATAAGCTGAAGAGTAGAGCCACGTAACCTAAGCAGCTGAGCACTCCCCAAGCAATGAACAGAATGTATTCGATTTGTCGAAACACAGTCAGTCGCATCGCCGGTTGCCTTTTATGTGGCCGAGACTTATGCGGAAGACGTAGAAGACAACCAAAGCTCGTGTTAATCACAAGGCATATTAAACCAAGGATGCGCATGGCCCATGGATACCCGAGACGGGGTATCATAGAGCCTATTGCCAGGGAATAAGCTAGACCGCCGATGCCAGATCCCGCCGCGGCAATCCCGTTAACAAGGCTTCTTCGTTTCTCAA